GTGGTAGCAGGGAGCAACTGGCCAAAGTACATAAAACCAACCTGCAGCTTCTTTGTAACTGATCATTTCCTTTCCTTAAGGAAGAGGGTCTGGGGGAGAGGGGATGGCATCTTCCAGACTATGTAGATGCATTCAAACGTTAACCCTCTTCTACTTGACTCAGAGTATTGGGGCTGACCTTTCGAGCTCGTTGTTCTCAGGAGCACGTGTACTCTCCTCAAGCATTTGCGGGAACTTTGCACTTGCCTGTAAATGTACTGAGATGGTGATTTCCACAACTGATCTACTCTAGTTTGTGTGAGGTTGTTCCTGCTTGTCTCCTTCTCTTTCGCCATTCTTGTAAATGAGCCCCTTATTTGTGTTGTACAGTAACTTGGCAGCTGAGGTGCTTCAGCTGCCAGAGCTCATCAGGAAGGAACCTGCCCTGCAAGAGCAAAGGCGGTGCTGCAGAGGAAGGCTGAGCTCTTACCGGCAGAGCTGCATTGCACAGGCACGTACAGCACTAGCCCAAGCCAAATATCATAAACTTCAGTGAGCACTAAACATGCAGTGCTTGCTAGGTGGAGGCAGTACACGATCAAATTCGAGAGCGCAGAACTGCAATTAAAAATTAACTTAGCCTCTCTGCCCCTTGACTGATGTGGTTATAACATCTGTGTGTGAGTGTTCCCTCTCCCGTCTCGCCGGCTGGTGGTGGGGCTGGGAGGCAGAGGTGTTCGGCTCTCCCCGTATTGCCTGTCCTTCGCCACGGTCACCTTTTGCAGGAGGGGGGTTGGGAGTATTGCAGGCTCCTGCGACAAAAATAAGTTAATCTCTGAACCGTGTTGGGACTCCTCTGCTGTTGCTAACAAAGCAGGCCTCTGTCTGCCTCTCCTCAGACACACGTGTCCTGGATTTTGTGCTCCACATACCGGTCTTGCTGTCATCACTGTTGCTGGGAGAACGACAGGCCTGAGTGTTGGAGGTGGTGGAGAGGGTAGAAAGCCATATTGTGATGCTGGCTTAGCCTGTGTGGACTCATCCCATTCCTCCCTCATGGGGAACTCTGGGCTCCTGGATCAATTGATGCCTTCCTGGAGTTAATTCTCCCTTCAGGTCCTGGGGCTGATGCTAAGAAAGACCAAGGATCAACTACACAGAAGCTGACCAGGCTTTGTTGGTAACCAAGTTTTTTATGGCAGTAGTGCTTCAAAGCAGCAAACTGACAGATGTGCACAAATAATCCTGCATGTCTTTACAGGATGGGAAAGTGAGAGGCTGGGAGAAATGCCACACTGCAAGTGGACAGTATGGTCTCTTATGAAATTCTCTGCAGAGCTGGCATCAATCTGGAGAATGACAGGGAAAATTTGGAGGCCTATGGGCAGGATTATTGAAAAGACTGGGTGTGGCTGCTTGGGCAGGGAAGTTCAAATGGTCAAAGCAGTTAGGGTGGAGATGAAGAGGAGGAAACAAACTGTTGTGGACAATCAGTGGAATTTAAAAGTTGCAGACTTCATGTATTAAGCCTTTGCATGTGTTGCAGCAGGATGGTAAGGCTCAAAAGTTGACCAACTTCAAAAGGCAAATGGTCAGCTCTGACTGTCACAGTCCACAGGCAGCACTAGCTGGCAAGACTCAGTACTCAATCCAGCCCTTCAGTGGCCTGTGGATATGCCTGGCTGTGATAACTCCAAGCTCATCTGCTGCTAAACCTGACCCATTTCCAATTTTGTTGAGCTGCTACTTCTACTGTATGGCGGTGTTGCTAGTTTTGTGACTGACTCTGCAATTTCAGAAGGTAGGGTTTTGAGGAGTTTCATTAATGTAGTGAATGGAAGTAAGCTTAATTTCTTAAGGATAGCAGAAAAATTGGAAAATCTGTAATCTTTCAATATGTGGAGCCCTAAGGTATCTTAAAAGCTCGAAGCAAAACCCTAAAAACCTGGTTCTCTGTTGGCTTTGAAAACTGTCCTTTGAGTTACTTTATGGCTAGCAGCTACAAAAGGGTTATCTCCTGTGGCACGAGGAGAACGGTGCATAATGCTGTAATGCACAGTTGGGTTTCTGTGGTGTGCGTGGGTTGGTTTGTTTGTTTGTTTATTAAAAGCATTGAAGACTGTATGCCTTTAACAAGTAGCTAGGAGTAGAAGATCCCTGAAAGCAATCTTCTACTCTTGTCACCTCAGGCATGTCTTCTTCCACACCAGCTCTTTTCAACTTGTTTGACTACTTAATTGTCTTAGATAACTATCCTAACAGCTCTGCAAATCTCTGTTTTCCTGACTAATCAAACCAGTGTGGACAGAGTTTGAAATAGGCAGCACACAGCTACTTAGCGCTAGGAAGCAAATCAGCCAGTACTGGGAGTTGTCCCTCCAGCTTGAAAATAAGGAGGATTGCACCTGGGACCGGACATCTTAAGGTAAGAAGTCCAATGCCTTGTGCAGGAGGTTATTATCTAGCTTAGTTCTTGGCTAGGTTGAAGAGTAGAAAAACACTTGTATCCCCCACAACAGACATTCATCATTGCCTAGGGACCTGGCTGCCTCAATGTTCTGGTTAGACTGCCAGGCTCCAGTTTCTGATTCTATTAAGAGGAGATGTGTTCATGGTGAAGCCAGTAAGCAAGCCAGCTGGATGGGAAAACTTATGTCTTAGTTATCCTCTCCAAGTGCAGTCTTGAGTGTTGGTGCCTGCCAGGATTAATGGCCTGAGAGAATGTATCTCCTGCAGAGGGAAGGAAGGGAGCACACAGTTTGAAGGAAGCGATATTTGTGCTGTCCCTGCTTATATATTTGCCCCTTTTCTGAGATACCATTAAAGGGCACAGTAGTCTTTGGGTTACAGCTGTTCTATGACAGCAAGCTGGCATATGATTTGTGGTAGGAGAGCTGCTCTAACATGAGCGAGGTTTTCTCAATAAACTTGCTGTCATTAACCAAGGGAAAAATCTGCTAACAGAGAGCCTTTGCTCACTTTCCACAGGTTGGTAGTGATGCAGCTGTTGTATAGTGTATCTGTGCTGGAACAAAACCAGCTCATAGCTGATCGCTGCACCTGGGGGGACTGGAAATGGGAATGCTGTATGCTTGATCTTTGGTGTAAGTATGGACCAGAAACTGTTACAGGAGCTTTCCCTGCCTAATTTGAAGGACCTAATTTGGGTGCTGCTGGCTTTATGGACTCTGACCTGAGGAGTTAACTGAATAAAAAGCGACTGAGATGATGCTAACTTGGCTGTGCAGTAAGAGCTCCTTAGGTGCAATGACTGCTACATAGATGGGATTTTTAAGATCAACTTGTAGCACAGCTGGCTGAGATTGTATTTCGGTGCTGCTTTCCCATCTCAGTAGCATCTTGCTATGTGCTGTGCAGTGATGGGCTTAGCACAGCCTCTAGCTAGGCATCCCTTGAAGTTAGAGCAGTAGTGCTGTCTTCAGCCACAGAGTTCAGACTTGTGCTCTCTCCTGGTAGTTGGAGGGTGACCATTGTTTGGTGGGTAGCCTAGCCAGTTGTAACAAGGCCCACATACCAGTTTAGCTCCAGAGTTAATAGGATTAAGCAAAAGCCTTTGATTGAAACAAAAGACGTACTGGGCTTCGGTCACCCTTGCTTCGTATACCCAGGCTGGCAGCAGGGAACCTTGCTGACCTTGCTCTCTGGGGCTGGCTCATCCCAGACCAGGCTGGTGACCCCAGGCTAGCATTGCTCTTCCTCTGGCTGCTGCTTCTAAAGCAGCATGGTCTGTTTTGAGCAAGGAGCTTGCTAGAGCAAATTTTAAGGAACTTAAAAGTCCTCTCTTGCCTATGCAGGAAACGTAACTGAGCATGGGGGAGGAAGGAGAAGCAGGAAAGCTGACCTGAGACGTTCCCCCACTGGTCCTCATGTGTTACTTGGCTGTGCTGCTTCCCCAGGAGGAGGCTTACTCCTGTAGTGGGGGTGGTCTGTGGGACTTTTTTCTAACTTCTGAGCTCTTTGCTGTCAGACAAGTGAGAATTGGAGTAGCTTGCAGTAATACAGATCTATTTACTCCCTGGGTCCTGTAGGCAAAGACCTGATGAGAATCCATTGTTGATAAGCTGCCTAATTTGCAGTGTTAAGAGCAACCTTGTCATCTCTTCTCATATGGGTTTGCATAGGCTTCAGCCATGGTGATTGAGCAGAGTTAACTTCAGATACAGTAAAGTATCTTCTCTCTGTGGTGAAGACCTGCTCTGGACTTTGTCTTTTGCCCTCTCTGTATTGCTTGCTAGCCACCCCATGGATATGTGTAGTTTGTGTGGCTGGTACCAACAGGCTAAACCAACAGACTAAAACCAGCATCTTGTCTTATCAGTGCTCCCACACTGCCTCAAACTTGTGAGGTTGGCTTTGGAAACTGGGACTTGTTGAAATCTTGCCTGTCTTAATCTTGCAGCAGAATTGGTAGTATGTAAACATGGAGTGGGCTTGCTGGTCCTCATGTGTTGTCAAAGCATCAGGTGCCAAGCTGCACACAGGAAGCTTGATTTAATGCTGCCTTTTATATGGACCCTTTGGCCTTCCTCTCCACTGATCCTTCAACTGCTTGGGGGTCACAAGGAGATGAGATTTTTCTGGGGGAGGGAGCTGGCCTTGTGAGCTCCTTCAGATAAATGCATTCCTTTTCTTCACTGGCGGTGGTAGCTAGAGTTGGTGTTTTGGTTGATGCTATTAATGAAAAGTCCATATAAATAGTGATGGAATTAGCAGTGTATTTGTGATTAAATCCCTTCTGTAACTGCTGACAGCCCTCTGTCACTCTCCAGGAGATCTTGGCAGCAGTGGCTGTTTGTGTTTGCATTTGTAGTGATGGTGGTGTCCTGTTTTGCTGCCCTGAAAAGGCAACTCAGGTAGTCTATGGAGCACCTGCTTTCTGTGTGTCTGCTCTGAGACTCACCAGATGATCCAGAGCTCTGCACAGGGTGAGGGTGCTGCTCTGAAACTGCCTGGAGGACCTGTCACTAACATAACTGGTTGTCTGTCTGCTTTCCCCTTAGGTCCTGTAAGTGAAAGAAGATGGGGTCTGGCTGTCTAAAAGTCACCAAGTACTTCCTCTTCCTCTTCAATCTCCTGTTCCTTGTAAGTATTGTGGGCATCTGCAGAGTAGAAAGGAAGGCCTGGACTAAAATTAGCTGGAAAGGTGTTTTTTCTGGATGTTGGCCCAGTGTGTTTATTAAGTAAAACAGAGTTTTGGAAGGAGGGAGGGAATCCCTGAAGCCGAGGGACATCAGAGCTGCTGTGCAGCTCCCAGGTATATCAAGTAGCTCCGCTGCCAGTACCTACCTGCTCTCTCCAATGCACACAGCTCCCTTCCTGCAGTGGGAAAGGAAAACAGGAGTTATGGGTTCTTTCTGTAAAGAGAGTAGTCATAACTACTTTCTCTGCCACATCTGGAGCAGCAGCTGAGCAGCAAAGCTAGCTACAAAACCTGCAATGGCAGTGCCCTCCTAAATAGGCCAGGCAAGCTTCAAAGAAGAACTCTAATTTTGTTTGAGTCCCAACGGCTGGTTTTGATTTTTAACAAGATGAATTAGTCCAAGTCCCCTATTTGAAATGGAGTTGGGAGGTGGGGGAGAATGCGTCAGGCTTGCCTGGGGAAATGAGGAAGCCCACTGGATGCAGTTATTTTCAAGTGTGAAGCTCAGCAAAAGATGAGCTCCTTTTGGATCAGAGTGGGTCCGGGAGGGATGCACACACTCTTGCATGCATCCTTTTGTGAAGCTTAGATATTGTGTGTCATGTGGACGGTGATGGTACTGTTGGTGCTGCCCTCCTGCAGTGGGATGGTGTAGTGGGGAAGCATAAGGTTTCAACTTTCCACATATCAGCAAGAAAATAGCCTGTCTGATATTGTTACCCTTTGTGCAGCGTGTAAGGTGAAGGAAGGGTCAGGCTGGGAGGGCAGGGAGGGAAATGGAGCGTGATAAGGTGAGCACTGTTTTCTGGTCTCTGTCCCTGCACACGGCTTCATTCTTGCTTCCTGCACGGCTGCACTGTGCTGCCGGCACACGGGCTTGAACTTGAGGCACATCTGGATCTGGTTTCCCTTGGCTTACTCTGCTGGCTCTTTCTGTGTTTTGCTTCCATCCTAAGAGTAGTTAGCTCTGGTCTAAGGGCTGAAAGTCAGGGGTGCTCAAAGCATCCATGGAGAAGACTCTTGGGAGGAAGGGGACAGGAGAGAAGAGGTTTTTCAAATGCCACTAGATCTTTCAGAGTACGCTTTGGTCCACTTTAAGGATTGGAAAAATCCAGCAGAGTCCAGGCCTGTCCCCCTATTAGTGCAGGACACCTCTGAAGTACCTAGGCTATCTCCTTTCTTGAAGAGGTTGTACTTTTTAAGCAGTATGTAACTTAACCATTCTACCCTGGGAAGCAGACCTGCATTTGTTAAGGCAGTGTTTGAGTCTTGCTGAAGCCCGGTGCCTGCACACTGTCTAGTCTTCCTTTCTCCCTGAGCCTAGGTCCAAGTTCATTAGCTAACCTCTGTATAGAGGGAGTTCTCGTCAAGAAAGCAGCCTAGCATAGGAGGAAAGGGGAAGGACGACAGCCTGAAATACTATGTTGCCTTACAACACTGTCACTGTTTTTGCTGGATGCTGTCAGTGGTCATTGTGGCATCTCTATTCCACGCTGCCCTCCTCTCCCCTCTCTGCTGAGCCAGGCGTGGTCACGGGCAGTCTGTGGGGATAGCTGTGCTGTCAGGAGTATCATCGGGCTGACCCATGTCTGCACTGAAAAGCATTTTCCTATATTTTGAAAGACTGGGAGGTTGGCAGGCGCTGAATCCCTCTGCAAGTCTTGGGGAAACTTCAGCACTCCTGTCTAGGCTACAAGTGATGGGAATCAGCTGTTCTTTGACCTGTGCACACCCTGCTCCAAACCAACTCCTCTTGTGTAGCAGCCAGCCCCTGTCCCTCTTGGGGAAAGCTGATCTGATGCACTGAGCTGAGCCTGGAGAGTAAGAGTTTTAAGGTAGGATGTGAGGATGTCTGTGCTGATCAACTGGAGAAGCTGCTTTAATGAGCTCTTTGCTAAGCCTACCGTGCAGCATGGGTGCTGTCTTCCCCTCAGGCCGCTCTGTGGAATTGCGGTCTCTGAAGCTGCTGTTTTTTGGTGGGGAGCTTGATACTTCTCTAGAGTGAAGATTTTGAGGGTGCTTCTGTCTTGACTGATGGCAGACTTTTTACACATGCCAGATGTTGAGGAAGGTGGTATCCTAGGACACTCTCACTGTCATAGGAAGTAGTTGACATGAGAAGCTTTTTCTGTTACGGTTGTTCAGGGTCTGAATGGGGGGTGGATTCTTGAGCTTATACAATGTGGTAGATCAATATTAATCTAGCAGAGAAACTGCTTCTGTTGAGTTGCTGTGAGCTCCTAGCACGGACAGGTTTTCATACCTCATGCTGGTTTCCCGGAGCTGCTGAGTTTTGTTGAGGAGAGTGCTTGCACAAATGTAAATGTTAATGCTGGTGACGGAGCTCTGTGTCTGCTCTGGACCTTGAGCTGAGCCTCTGTGATTGTACCCTGTGCAGGTCAGCCCTTGCTCTCTGAAATGTGTTCTCCAGCCTTGCTTGGAGCTGATGAATTAAGCCTTTAGAGAGATGCTAATGACTCTTTTAAAAGTTAGTCAGTCATTGAAATAGCAGTTCTCTACAGCTTGAGGTCTATGAGAAGGTCCCTTGCTATAGCTGAAGTAGTTCAGGGACTTGGTGGTATTTTGCAGTCTTGGAGCCTTACTTCAGGGAAGGGTTTGACCTGCTTTCATTAAAGGGAAGGTTATTTGGACTGCTTGCCTACTTGCTACAAAAGATACCAAAATCATAAGCTTGCAGTATAAGCTTAGTTTCCCTAATCAAAACTTAGCACATCTCTACCTTCTTGGGTAGCAGACACTGGCCACAGCAGATGCTTCTTCTTAAAGGGAAAACAGTTCTGTGATACAAGTTCAACAGTCTCTGGAAACAATTTGTTTAAAATATATAACTGTCTGTCCTACTTGTAACCCTTCTGTAAATGGAGCAGAAGGCTACTACCTAAAACAAAGCCTGGAGTTGAAGAGCCTTTCTGTTGGCCCCTGTGCCAGGCTCAATGTTAGCTCATGCAACCTGAGTGTGAAGGAAGGCAGTGCTGGGGGGAAGACAGCTGGGGACCCCCAGCTGCTCTTTCCAGAAAAGTGTCACCTGCATCACAGCTTAGTGCTTCCATGCCCCTCTTCACTGGGCTCCGCTGTGGGAAACTGGTGGCCCTGCCTTGAGGGAGCTGCATCCTTCTGGCTTGGGTGTGGAAGGGGATCGTGCTGAAATCAGAGGTGAAATCTCCACCCTGGGGTGGATGGGAGACATCTGTCCCCCACTTCAGGAGTTTAAAGCAGTGGAGCACAGGAATGAAACTCTATGGAAGGCAGACGTGATTTCTTCTGTGGAGGGTCTGAAGGCAAGCCAGTGGCAGAAGCAGCCTTGCTATGCTATGCAAACTCCTGAAGATGCTGAGCAGAGATACTGTCCTGCTAGGAAGTAAATGTACCTTTGATAGTAGGACAGTGTTTTCTCCCTGTGGTTTATTTTCTCCCTGCCTTCCCCCTTTAGTGTTTTCTACAGCAGCTCCTGGCAAATGCACGAGTTGTGGACTAGAGCAAAGATCAGAGTGAAAACAGGCCTTGGATAGTCTGAGCACCTCGTAACAAATAACTTCCCAGGAACTCAGCTCAGCAGCCGTTCTGTGTTTTGTCAGCAACAGCAAAACTTAGGTGACATTTCAGGGTCAGCGAGCCAAGAGAGATGTCACATACAGCCCGGTTTGCATCTTTGTTAAGACAAATATTTTATTAAGACTATAGTTTAAATGTGAGACTGCCTCAAACTGTAAATTCAGCAGTTTTCGGCAATGCCATATTTGAGAGGAATTTTTTAGGCGCCACAGCTGTTGCATGTTCAAGGGGCCTTTCTAATTTGATCAGCGGATTGAGTGCTGCAGTGCAGCATGTTGGGACATAAGGCAAGGAGGAATTCTTGTTACTGCGATCTTGTCTCTTTTGTCTTCCTGCTCCCCGCCCCCTGCCCCGGGATATAACAGCTACATGCTTTCTGCAGCTGAGTCAGTAGTCTTCATCCATCTTCATAGATGGGAACTTGCTTGGTGACTTTCTAATCCTGTCCCCAGAGCTAACTACGTGTTGTGCCCTCTGCCAAGCCAGGAAAGCTTTCAAGCAGCTTATTTCAGACTGTTGGTTTATCTTTGCTCAGAAAAACTTCTTTGTGTGAGGAGCTGAAGTATAATGTAAGCTTTCAAAATGTGGAGTCGATGCCTGTCCATACAACCTTCTCTGCCAGCTTGCTTCAGGTGGTGGTTTGGCATTTCCCTTGTCTCTCAAATATCAGAACATTCTCTAATGAAGCACAGAATTGCAGTCTCTCTTGAGCCCTGTTGGTTTATTTAGTATTTCTTTAGTATATGTCTTGAAACCCTGCTGGTGTAAGAACTGCTGCTTGCAGTTCATGTCCTCTGGAAGCATATCGCTTGCACTCCTTGTCCTTCCCTTGTTTCTTCAAAGTCTCTTTTAGATCTTTGCACAAGTGGTTTCCAGCCTTTGCCACTTCCAGATGGTTGAATGGCACAAGTTTCAGCTTCTTATCAGACCTGCAGACTTAAAGGCTTCTCAGCATAGTTACTTTATTATGGATATAATGGTGCTCTCGTCCTAATTTGGGAGCTGGAGTCATCTACATTCAAACACCTCACAGTGTAGTATAAAACAAGGTGATACCTGGAAGCTAAAACAGAGCATGCACTCCCCCACCACCCCCCCTCTTCAAAATGAGATGGGAAAATTGTATGTCTCTTGCCTTCTCGATTCAACATCTGGATTCAGCCGAGTCCTCACAGGGACATATTGCTCTACTAATCCTTGCCCTAGATATGACTGTGTGGTGAGCAAGGCAGAGACCATGGCTGATGTTTCATAATGCTTGACTCTCTGTTGGTGATGTGTTGGCTTGAGGGGCTGGAGTATTCTGGCATAAAGTAGTGGTTGAGCTAAAATGCCTAAGCTTGGCTTCGGAAGGGGCAAAGCACTTCACTCAAGGGAACCTGCATGCAAAGTGAATGCTGCTGGTTTTTTGTTTTGTGGGTTGAAGCTATAACATTATAACAGAGCCTGACAAGCTGAAGATTTCCTTCCTGGGAAGGTTCCAGCTGCCAGATATCTAATCCCTTGGCAGCTGGCTCCCAGCCTAGTCCCATAGGGTCAGGGATTTCTCTATTCAAAAAAATCTTCAAAATCATATGCTAGATATGTTTGTCCTTCCTCGGTTCTTCACAGAAGCAGTGCACTTACCTTTTGGTTCTAACAACAAGGTTCTAGCATCAGGGCGTCTGTTCCTCAGACTGTTTTGAACAGTCCTCCTATACAACATCATGTACTATGAAAATACCATGTGAAGGACTGCCAAGCAGAACCTGGGACTCCTGTGCAGCTAGCTGAGGCTCTCCTCCTGGAGTCATGCTAATCGTGTTTACTTTGGGAGGAGTAGCATGGGGGAGATGGGTGGGAACAGCAAAAGAATGGTTGTATTTATTCTGGAAGTGTGGAGAATGGTGACTGCCTCTTTTTATTTGTCTAAACTAATAAGCCAGCTATATGTGTTTTGTTCTTACTCTTTCAGATCCTGGGCGCTGTGATCCTGGGTTTTGGAATATGGATTCTGGCTGACAAAACCAGTTTCATTGCGGTTCTACGTAAGATCATGTTTCTTCATCTTCTTTCTCCTTCTGAATTGAGTCTAGTCTGGGGCTGTGCTTGACTGTGGTGTAGTGTAGGGGTGGCAATACTTTTATGCATGGTCTGTGACCTGAGCAGTAATGTGATGTATAGCAATATGGGACTCTATCAGGGACAGGGTGAAAGGGAGCAACCCTGGAGACACAGCATTCCTCTTAGTCTTGTGGATTGCAACACCAGAGGTCAGACTGAGTGAGACCGTTGCCTCTTCACCCAGCATTCCAAATATTTTATCTTAAACATAGGGACTAGTGTTTCATCCTATTTTCACTGCATGCTCTGTGTTTCCATAACACTTTCCTTATTACCATTGCATCTGAAGGCCCCCAGTGCCTTAGTGTAGTTTTGCTATGTGAGTCCCCTATGCTCCCACTGCTTTCTGTAATGATCGATTTCAATTTGACTGTTTTAAACGCCAAAGAAAGTACCTGGTTTTATTGATGCTTCATGTACATTGAAAGTAGCCAGTATGTTTGTTCCTAAGCAGTAGAGGATGTAGATCTGAGGGGGGACAGGAGGTGTGGGTCTGTGAAGTCTTTAGTCCCCTACTTCTAAAACGTACTCAATTATACACACTTCACAAGACTTAGCCTGGCCATCAGAGGTGGTTTGTGCTGCTGCACGTGCAAGGGGCTAGCTTCCTTCCCCTTTAAGTCAGCCAAGAGCATCGACTTGAATCTTAACAGGGGGTCTACTTTCTGCAGCAACCAAAAAAACTGTGCTGGCTTAGCAGGGCCTGGGTTTCGCAGGGATGTAAGCGGGCTCTCGCCAAAAGAGTAGCTCAGCAGAGCTTGTGAACGATGAAGCTTCCTTTGTGCTTTTTCCTAGAGGGGGCTTCAAAGAACTTTTCTGCTTGGTGGGTCTGGTTACCCATTGCCACTACCTCCAGAACTGCTGACTCTGGCACCAGCGTCAGATGCTGCAGAAGGGTTGCCTGCGCACTGCTTGCAGCCCTAGGGAATGAACAATAATGGCATTCATAACCCTGTTCCCAACTACACTGATTCTGCAAAGGGCTTTATCTCCCAAGTCCTGCTTAATGCTCTGGCTTGGCTTTGGAAGGTGCTGGGTGGGGACAACACCCCCACTAATGCCATGCACACAGATACTGCTGCTTGCTGTGTTTATTGTGCTGTGGCATCTGGCTTGCTACTGCAGTACTAGAAGGGCAAGGAGCTCAATGTTGGTTAATAAAGTGGGGGCATGATCAGAAATGCACTTTTAGTACTGCCAGCCAAAAAGGAGCCTATCAGGGCTTGGCTATTTGCAGCACCCCTCATGGTCCAAGGTGTGTTTGGTACCAGTGGGTCAGCAGCTGTTCCCCCAGGCTGATGGGTGTTACTGCTGCTTGTGGAGATACGAAGTCCCTGAGCTTGGCTCTGCTTCTTCCCATTTTACCCAGAATCTCTGCTAACAGAGCATTTAAGGATTTAGCTTCCTTCCTGGAGATTTCCAGCATCAGCTCTTTCTCCCTGCCCCCTCGCTTCCTTTCCCATGC